TGGATTGAATTCTGTGGGTGGCAGGGGCGGCGAGGGCGGCCCTAGCAACCCGTCCTCGGAATAAGTCCATTGCATCCAGCGGTCGACCCTAAAGACGCATTCATCAATTTTAACATTCTCTTCATTCTAAATAGAAATTTTCTCAAATATAAAATTAATATTATAAATTAGAATATTGTGCATACTTAGACATTGGTTAGGTTAGATGTTTAGGTTCTGTTGGCGATTATTCAACCCGTCCTCGACTCAAGTCCATTACATCCAGCGGTCGACCCCACAGACGCATTCATAAATTTTTACATGCTGTTCATTCAAAACGGGAATTTTCTCAAGTATAAATTAATATTATAATATATTGGCATATTGTGTATATATAGGCATAGATTAGGTTAGGTTAGGTGTTTAGGTTCTGTTGGCGATTATTTGTATTTGTAGTACGTGGGTGAAGCATTTACAGCGTTGTGGTTCGAACACAAGTCGTCAGTGAAACACTTGTTCCGGATATGTTCGAACGTCAGCAGTTGTGAGTCGTGTGTAAACCGCTTTTCATTTATAAACAGGGGGTTTGGCGGGTGCATGGAATCACTTGTGGATCTTTGTTTGGAGTACGGGCTGGATTATTTGTAGTACAAGGGTGAAGCATTTACAGCGTTGTAGTTCGAACAGAAGTCATCAGCGAAGTACTAGTTCCGAAAGTGTTCGGACGTCATCAGTCAGCCCGTCCTCCAAACAAAGATCTAAAAATGATTCCATGCACCCGCCAAACTCCCTGTTTATGAATGAAAAGCAGTTTACACACGACTCACAACTGCTGACGTTCGAACATTTCCGGAACAAGTGCTTCACTGACGAATTTTGTTCGAACCACGACGCTGTAAATGCTTCACCCACGTACTACAAATACAAATAATCACCAACAGAACCTAAACACCTAACCTAACCTAACCTATGCCTATATATACACAATATGCTAATATATTATAATATTAATTTATACTTGAGAAAATTCCCGTTTTGAATGAACAGCATGTTAAAACATATGAATGCGTCTGTGGGGTTGACCGCTGAATGTAATGGACTTGAGTCGAGGACGGGTTGGAAAAAAAAGAGCAGGACCACAATATCAAGTTCTTTACATTAGTTGTCTGAGTGCTTGGATAAACTACATATTTATTAACTTTTCCTAACGATTTTTTTTTATAAATGATAAAAAGCGATTGAAAACTATATCATATAGTAAAAGTATAATAAAGGCCTCATGATGCTGGAGCATTGTTGACTTTGTTCTAAATATGACCAACTATTGCAACCAACGTTGATAGGTCACAAAGAAAACCCAAAAGTGTATTAAAATAGTTTTATTTTGCAGTGAGGCTGCTGGCGGCGTGAGTCACTTGAGCGGCAACTGGAACACAGCTACAACTCCTCCCAGTGTAAGAGGCGTCCTTCAACCCTGACTGTGCAAGAGGTGCCCCTTGAACCCTGAGCATCTTGTGAGCGAGAGGTGCCCTTGAACCCTAAGTGTGTGAGAGGTACTCTTGAGCCCTGAGCACCTTGAGTAAGAGAGGTGCCCTTGAACTCTGAGAACTGTGGTAAACCCAGTTCTGCTCCTGTCATGTGTAATTTCAATGACGTGAAAATCTCTTACTACACTGGCGACCTCTATATACTTCTCTTAATGGCCAACCATCCCGTAAACTCTTAAACAGCTGGTGGCGGGTTTCTGCTGCCTGGCAGTGGCAGCCGAGACAATCTTTAAAACTCGTTTGTGGGCGGCTGTTTCGTCTGAAAATATCTGCGGATTGCTCTCCTATCGCACGGGAGAGGGAAGGGGGAGCATTATTTTAAAAATCAAACGCTCCCGGTGATTGGAAGATTGTTTTCACAGCTTGTGAAACCGGCTTATGATTGGCTCATCGGCGGGTGGTGGGGAGGAGGTGGCAAGCCAGCGGGTGTGAGTGTTTCTTGACTCGCGTCGCCTTCCACACCACCGCAGCCTAATGGTGGTAATAATGCAAATGTGAGCAGGAAACAGCGCATCTATTGCCTGGGTGGCACTGGTGCGCCCAGCCTGATAGGATGTGTAGAGAGCAATGGAAGGGGTTATCATCTCCTTGATATTATGAGCGAGGCCTCACCGTGGGTGGAGGGCAGCCAGAGAGCATCAGACACAAACAATAAAAGCCTCACTTACACCTGTTGTCTTCTACCGCTTTACTTACGAAGAGCACCAAGGACTCAGTGGCATCTTCGTAAGTCCACAACTACCCCGATTAATATCACAGATACCGATAATACTTATTTAAGGATATAGGTTCAAGATAAAGCAATGTATTATATGTTCATTATTACTAACATATTTAATAACAAAATTAAAAATTATACCTAATTTGAGTAATACAATTAGATCTCATTACAGTGAAATACTGCTGGAAGTCACTGTCACACAGGACAGATTATCATGCGCAAGACAATAGGTCTAAATTATAGATAGAAGCACATATTTCCATAAGTTACAATCTACTACATCAGACATTATAAATTATTCAATTTACGGATGTGGCATGCAACCACTCAAGGTACGTATGGAGTCATAAGACATGCGGCTAAAAAAAAAAGTTCATTCTTTAATATAGACAAGCAAATGTAGGATAAATGGTTAGGATGTCTTCCAATAGCACATTCAATAAAATATTTGCATAGTTGATTGTACAATCAACTATAGCCAGACTTAGGTTCTTAGGCCAGGTCTAAAATCTTCTAGTTTCAGATTCAATAATGTATTGTTCAAGCGAATACATTAACGGTTTGTGACAGTTTACAAGCTGAATAGTCTGTTTTATTTTTTATTTTTTATTTTTACATGCAAGTATGCGAAGAAATACAATAAATACAAGAAAATCAATAAAAGCAAACTAGAATAAAACAGAGCACAAAACACAAAATGACAAATCATAAACTCACAAAGTACAAAAGAACAAAGGTATTCAATCACAAAACACCGGCCTGAAGGACCGACCATAATAACAATACATACAAACTCAGGGGAATACAGCACATAAACGACATCAATACAACACACGGTACCCAAACCCGCACCCAACAACCCAAAGACCAGAACAAACTTATACAAAACAAGTCCACCGGCACCGTAACCACACACGGAGAGGTACCAAGACAAAATGATAAGAAAAACAACACTAAAGGAAATAACAAATACTCAATAGAAACAAAAGGACAGCATAATCGCAATATAGAAAACATATGCAATACATAATACAAACACCGGAGCAAGCAGGAACCGGGAAAACTAAGTCCCAGAGCCAGGAGCATACTTCTCAGGGAACTTATCCCAAGGATACCTTTTCTTATAGGCCTCCCAAATCAAATATTCCATGTCAGTAGGGAGTCGATCCCCCTCCCGCTGCGGGGCCTGCATAAACTCAGGAACCACCAAATCAGGCGGAAACGGCCACTTCCGAAGTTCACTGGCGCAAGTCGCATAACGAGGCTGGGAAGCATGAAACACCCCCTCCTTGGAAGCAGAGGACACCTTAGAAGCGTACGTAGGCCGCCGAACACACAGGAGAAGGTGACGGTTGACGTGACTGTAACACCTCCACCGGTACTGCAGGAGTTACAGAAGAGACGGCGTGAGATGGAAGAGGCGACAAGACCGCCGCCGACGAAACAGGGAGCGAGGAAGGGGACACGGACCCCCAAGAGCGAGCAGCCATTTTCAAGACCACCACTAGGTCACTACGAACCTCAGCAGGGGGAACCACCCTCCACGAAGAACCGGAACCATCTGATACAGGCAACGCGCCCAAAGCAGTACCCTCAAACACTCCACCAGAAGGTGAGGCCGAAACACCGGCACCGGCATCCGCAGGCAAATGCACCTCCACCGTAGATTGCAACGCAACCAGAGCCACCTCGCCATCGTCGGAAGAACCAGAGCCACCTCGCCGTCGTCGGAAGAACCAGAACCACCTCGCCGTCGTCGGAAGAACCAGAGCCACCTCGCCGTCGTCGGAAGAACCAGAGCCACCTCGCCGTCGTCGGAAGAACCAGAGCCACCTCGCCGTCGTCGGAAGAACCAGAGCCACCTCGCCGTCGTCGGAAGAACCAGAGCCACCTCGCCGTCGTCGGAAGAACCAGAGCCACCTCGCCGTCGTCGGAAGAACCAGAGCCGACGAACTCGCCCACATCAGCCCACGTAGCAGAAGAACGACGGGAACGCTTGGGCTCCGGCCGTACATCATCAGAGCCGGAGGCGGACCCAGAAACACTGGCCCCACAAGCCGGGCGGACCGACGCACGATGCAAGACGGCAGCAGCCTCAACCACAGGGGGAACCGGGCCGCACACAGCATGAGGCGCGTCCCCCACCCCACCATCACATTCGGGACACAATCCGATGGCGCAGGGCCATGCGCAGTAGCAGGAGACGAGGAAGCGGAGGGCGCCGACGATGCACAGAGATTGCCTGGAAGACCCACGGGACCAGCCGGAACATCGACCTGAGCAAGCAGAACCGTCGGCGCCGCAACATCCAGAGGAGGATCCCTCAACATCCGGAAGCGTACAAGGAGACGCAGGGGGAATCTCAGCAGCGATCGAGACGTCCACCTCCTCACCCCCAGAGTCCTTCTCCACAAGGAGCGGCGGGAAATCCTCTTCCTTGAACAGGTTCACGGGAACAGTCGCAGCAGGCTCAGTGCACCCGGCAGCCTGATGCCCCAACAGGCCACAACGAAAACATGTCCGCGGTTGCCAGGCATAGTACACCCGTACATAGTACCCAAAAGCCAGACAGATGATGGAATGTCCGACCTCAGGCGCATCCCTAGGGAACGAATGTTGGTCCTCATACCCGTAAACTTGCCAGAAGACAGCGTGTGCATCCGCACACTAACGACAGCTCCAAACCGCTGGAATATTCGCCGGAGGAGGGTCTCGGGAAACTCCATGGGGGCCCCCATGGACACTCATACGTCATGGCACCACTACGATCTGTAATGGACACAGATCCGGTGCCATCTTGCAGCTGCAAGGTACGTCCCTCGTACCGCCAGAGAAAGTCACGGTATATCGCTTCACCCACAAACTTGATAACTACACGGTGAGCAGTTACCAGCTCAACACCATAGATGTCTATTACCGGTATACGGAGCATGTCACACATGACCAGCTCCGCTACAGGGTACCCCGCACGACCAGTAAACTCCAATCCCACTGAGTTCACCCTCACTACAGGGGGAAGATGGCCATCCATCGCAAACACGCCACGTCCACACCAATCAGGAGGGAACAGCAGGGAGGGTAGAGACACCCACACCCCCTGCTGGCGAAAGTGGCAAACACTCCAACTACCAGAGAGGCCAGGCGACACGTCTACACCTCACGGCAGCTAGAGCACAACCTTCAGCTGAATAGTCTGGTAGTGGCTCAGCCTCGCTAACCTGCCAGATGTGCCTATGGAAAAGGCAAATTACCGCTCTGACTACATCACACTGCCTGGTCCGGTTACTGTGCTGACCATAAAGACCGGTTATTACAGAGTTGCCATAGCTTTTAATACTACAACATTCAGGTCTTTGGCTATTTCTTAATTCTTCTTGGTCAGAAGTTATTCGCTTAGTTACAGCAACTCATTCCTTAATGAATTAATCAAATTGTCCAACTCATGCCTTATTCAAAAGTAAAATAAAAAAGTATCTAAATTCGTCCTCATAGTTTCCTACCTTGTGCTTCAAACTCACACTATCTTGTACAACCCACTCCCCCAATATCAGTACTTAAGACATGTGTCTTCACCAGTAAAGTCTTCACATCCATAAATTTTAATTGTAGTTATATATTTAAACCAAATGTTGCTACAATGTACCTATTCATCTTACATGATCTGCTAGGTTAAGGACCTGCCCGAAACGCTATGCGTGTTAGTGGCTTTGCAAGAATGCACGATCACCAACGTTATGATACTCTCAACCCCAATGTACCTTCTTGTAAATCAATAAATAAGCATACTAGAACAGCCCATCCTCCGATAATGGTAGTACTTATAGTAACTGTTTGCCAAGTGTACAAAAATGGGACCAAAAAGTTTTCGTTATTAGTGAATTAGCCCAAATAGCCTACTAAAAGTGGAAAGGGAACAATAGAACCTAACCTATCCTGTCCCAGGTGAAAATAAGCAATCCTAGACCTAAAATAGTACGCATGTGCTTTAATAGGCCGGGGAATTCTTAGGTTTTCTGTGTCCTCTACAAAATGAATAGTACAAAACGTGAACATTGTTGCTTGCAACAGTCCATTTTTGTACGTTTGAGAAAATAGTTGCTGTAATATCATTTTTGGAGGATGGATTGGAACTAGCGTATTAGTAATACTACAGCTAGCATTGCTCGTGCTGCTATTTGCGCTCCTGCTGCTATTGCTACTACTGACACTAACAATAATGCAACTAATACTATAAGGACGAGAACTACTACTGTTTTTTTAAACAATTACCATCAGTGAACCACCAAATCTGTTGACCATGACAAACTGCAGAGATGGTCTGAGAAACGGCTACTGGAATTCAATACTAGTAAGTGTAAGGTGAAGATGAGGCCAGGGGACCAGAAGGACGGTAAACAATGAAGGGGAACCATCTCCCTGAACCAACTGAAGAAAATGACCTATTGTTTGAAGTAACCCCGAATTTTACCCTAGAGGTAAGGTCGGTACCGAGGCCTCAAGAACGCTGCACAGCACCTTCACAGGAAGGTCTGGAGCCCCTGTGCTAAGCCGAGGGCAGAACACCTCGCTTCCCTCACCAGTGTTCCGTACTTGTGACTCTTCCCCTCGCCCCCCCTCCCACAACCCCGTCCCCTTTCCTACTTTCTCTGTCCACTCATATACGTTGTATCTCATTTCCCTTATTTTCCAAACATTTCACACCACCGACCCTCTCTTGTTCTCATTAGTTGGATCCATCTCATTTTCCCCACCAATATCCCTCATTTTTCCAACAAGAAAGCTTTTCACGTTCCACACACCATCGTCCCTGGCCTCCCTTACATCACCCTGTCGCCCCCTCACCTTCTCCCCCTCACCCACTTCCCTCACCACCAACAATAGCCTTGGAGCATATTTCATGGTTATCAATGTGCCTGTCTCAAAGCCGGGGAGCAGTATAGTATATCCAGGCTTGGGTGTGGGTGTTGGTGTTGGCATGGGTGTGGATGTGGGTGTCGTGTGGGTGTGGAGGTGGGTGTCGTGTGGGTGTGAACGTGGGTGTCGTGTGGGTGTGGAGGTGGGTGTCGTGTGGGTGTGGAGGTGGGTGTCGTGTGGGTGTGGAGGTGGGTGTCGTGTGGGTGTGGACGTGGGTGTCGTGTGGGTGTGGACGTGGGTGTCGTGTGGGTGTGGACGTGGGTGTCGTGTGGGTGTGGACGTGGGTGTCGTGTGGGTGTGGACGTGGGTGTCGTGTGGGTGTGGACGTGGGTGTCGTGTGGGTGTGGACGTGGGTGTCGTGTGGGTGTCGTGTGGGTGTGGACGTGGGTGTCGTGTGTTTGTGGACGTGGGTGTCGTGTGGGTGTGGACGTGGGTGTCGTGTGGTTGTGGACGTGGGTGTCGTGTGGTTGTGGAGGTGGGTGTCGTGTGGGTGTGGAGGTGGGTGTCGTGTGGGTGTGGAGGTGGGTGTCGTGTGGGTGTGGAGGTGGGTGTCGTGTGGTTGTGGACGTGGGTGTCGTGTGGTTGTGGACGTGGGTGTCGTGTGGTTGTGGACGTGGGTGTCGTGTGGTTGTGGACGTGGGTGTCGTGTGGTTGTGGACGTGGGTGTCGTGTGGTTGTGGACGTGGGTGTCGTGTGGTTGTGGACGTGGGTGTCGTGTGGTTGTGGACGTGGGTGTCGTGTGGTTGTGGACGTGGGTGTCGTGTGGTTGTGGACGTGGGTGTCGTGTGGTTGTGGACGTGGGTGTCGTGTGGTTGTGGACGTGGGTGTCGTGTGGTTGTGGACGTGGGTGTCGTGTGGTTGTGGACGTGGGTGTCGTGTGGTTGTGGACGTGGGTGTCGTGTGGTTGTGGACGTGGGTGTCGTGTGGTTGTGGACGTGGGTGTCGTGTGGTTGTGGACGTGGGTGTCGTGTGGTTGTGGACGTGGGTGTCGTGTGGTTGTGGACGTGGGTGTCGTGTGGTTGTGGACGTGGGTGTCGTGTGGTTGTGGACGTGGGTGTCGTGTGGTTGTGGACGTGGGTGTCGTGTGGTTGTGGACGTGGGTGTCGTGTGGTTGTGGACGTGGGTGTCGTGTGGTTGTGGACGTGGGTGTCGTGTGGGTGTGGACGTGGGTGTCGTGTGGTTGTGGACGTGGGTGTCGTGTGGTTGTGGACGTGGGTGTCGTGTGGTTGTGGACGTGGGTGTCGTGTGGTTGTGGACGTGGGTGTCGTGTGGGTGTGGACGTGGGTGTCGTGTGGGTGTGGACGTGGGTGTCGTGTGGGTGTGGACGTGGGTGTCGTGTGGGTGTGGACGTGGGTGTCGTGTGGGTGTGGACGTGGGTGTCATGTGGGTGTGGACGTGGGTGTCGTGTGGGTGTGGAAGTGGGTGTCGTGTGGGTGTGGAGGTGGGTGTCGTGTGGGTGTGGAGGTGGGTGTCGTGTGGGTGTGGAGGTGGGTGTCGTGTGGGTGTGGAGGTGGGTGTCGTGTGGGTGTGGAGGTGGGTGTCGTGTGGGTGTGGAGGTGGGTGTCGTGTGGGTGTGGAGGTGCGTGTCGTGTGGGTGTGGAGGTGGGTGTCGTGTGGGTGTGGAGGTGGGTGTCGTGTGGGTGTGGAGGTGGGTGAGGAGGTGGGTGTGGCGGTGGGTGTCGTGTGGGTGTGGACGTGGGTGTCGTGTGGGTGTGAACGTGAGTGTCGTGTGGGTGTAAACGTGAGTGTCGTGTGGGTGTAAACGTGAGTGTCGTGTGGGTGTGAACGTGGGTGTCGTGTGGGTGTGGGTGTCGTGTGGGAGTCGTGTGGGTGTGAACGTGGGTGTCGCTATGGACTGTCTCCTTGTTCCTCCACCAATACCAGTCTCTTCCGAAGTTTGTGATCCCACTCACATGTATCACGTCTCTAAAGGTTACATAACTCGAGCTAGACAGACTTGTATATGAAATACGTGAACACGTCCCCCTATGTGATAGCTTAGAAAGGTCATGCAATGACGAGATCTGAGGTTCAAGCAAGAATACCATGGCGCTGGAGGACGAGTCCCAGCTGCCCGGCATTACAAGACCGAGTGAGGTTATATAAGCAGGGAGTGTTTTCGAACGTGGGTGCACCTCCACAGTGCACGATGTGGATCAGGACAACATTCTACTTTTAAGTAGGGAGATGTCAAGAGTTTGTACTCGGCTGTCAACATAGAAGGCCTGGGGGAGGTTAAAGTTTGTGACAAGGACACGGGTGCTTTGGAGACTTGAGTCATTATATGTTGATTATAGTGAACACTAATCCTCGGAACCACCTCGAGGTGAGGTAACAATGTAGTGCTGAAATATGTGGTTTCTGCGGAGTGAAATATTTAATTACTCTAAGGTGACTAACACTGTGGGATATAGAAGGAGCAGCTGCACATTACTAGCGCCCGGGGATTATTTATATACATTGTATACATATTACAGCACTACACAGGTCAAGTTACTCACCCCTGCTATAACTCGTGTTAAAATAAGCACAAGGATCTCAGCTACTCTCCTGATATAAATTAATAACAAAATGGCAGCTGCTAGAATGATCACACCTTTAATCATCTCCAGTTTCGACTGATTAAGAAAGGGGTAATAACAGATTATTTTTAGTAAATTTAAAAAATATTAAAATAATGATATAAAACCTTATAAATATAAGTAAAGACAAATTAATAATAAACACGCGTTCATCTGTCTCACGAAATAAATTACTTATTTGCGAGCATCACTAATCTTTATACTAAAACATAAGCAATACGCGCGGCATGAAAGAAACTGATTTAAAACAGTGGGTAATAATACAATCAAGATGGATATAAAGGTCACCATGTGCCACCATGTGAGCTGTAAGT